CATACTCCGTACATGTTATTTTACTATAGCGTTGACAGGTGACCATCACAAACTAAAGACACCCATTTAGGGACCAAAGAATCGTGTACTTGGAAGGAAAAGTTTTATGTTTTCCAGGAAACTAGAAAATAGAAAACAATTTTCTTTAAATTCAGAAAATAGAAAACAGTAAACATGTTTACTTCACAGCTTTTTCAAATTTAGAAAACAGAAAACTCCTCTCCAATTTCGCAATGTTTATTCCCAGAAAACTGGAGAGCACATTTCCATTACAAAGAAGAGAACAACCCCGCCACAACCCCGCCACCATCATTGGCTCCAAGTCCGTCTTAACCTTTAGGGTGCCTTGTGCTAACTGAAAAAAGATAGGCCATTTTGTACTAAAAGTTAGAAATTATACACAATTTGATCTGAGATGAAATATGATTCAAATATCACCATGTTCATCTTTTCCCGAAATAAACCAACAGAATAGCTTTTGTATAATATATACACCATATTTTCAAGACATTAAGCCTTTATATTAGGAGGCACACTGCTATATCACTTCTTACAAGCCTAGTAGATGGCCCTGATTAGCGATTCCATCGAACACTCCCACTCCTGATCTCCTTGCCTCCTCCAACGCAAGTCTATCGACATTCACCATTGGTGATCATACATATCACTAATGAACGCCACTTCCAACCACTGCCACTACCAAAGACCGCACCTGTCTCACCATCACCAACTACCACCACTGCAGTGGACTAGCTGCCGACAAAAACCACTATATCCATCGTCTACCACTGCTGCCACAGTTCAACACCATTATCCACCACCGCCCTTGACCACACCATAGACCAACCATGACTGTAAACAACCACCATCACAGCTGTTACAACCACCACCACTGGTCTATACACCCCCCGTAATCTCGAGGTGTTTCCAATTTAGACATATGAAAGCTAAAATGCAAAACTAGAAAGCAGAAAGAAAAACAAATAGCAAGACTGGGAATAATAAGAAAACTTAGAAGTGGAATATACAAAACACTTCTACAAGTTCTGATTGCTACTTGCAAGAGAAATAGCTCTTAACAAGTTGAACTCGGGATTCATTTCCGTGTCAAAAGATAACATATGAAATCCAAACGCATGGTACGGGAAGTTCGAGATACCATGAGGGGAACGACGGCTGAGGAGAACTTGGATGAAACGGGACCGGAGGAGCTCGGCGTCACCGGAGTTAACGGTAGGACGGTTCGTCATTATGCCTGAGTGTTACTCTAATTTACTCTAATCAATTTTTTAGAAGTTGGGTTGGGGTGACCATCAACTAATTTTTTTTATAGAAAAGAGACGATAGGTGGTTAACAGCCACTCTTTAAGCTGATTTGACCACACATGTCATCCGACCATCTCAATCCACTAATATAGTAAGTATATTGTGTGGTTGAGATAAGTATAGAAGGGAGAGAAGTAAGGAGAATCATAAATTTATTAATTAAAAGGAAAAATAAAGTTTTTGGGACATCCAAAAAAGAAAAGATATTTGGGAGACATTTGTAAATAAGGAACGGAGGGAGTATATTACACGTTTGCAAATAAGGACGTAATCACCTTACACCATTTATCTTAGAAAAAAATCTATTTTTATATGAAACTTGTACGAAGGATATATTTGATAGACATTTGTGAGTAATTGTGTATACACTAAAGCACTTCATGTAACAATTATCTGTGATGTGACGAATGTATGTCAAGTGTGTACAAATTTTGTGTACATAATGAATTGTTGTTATTTTAATAATGAGTGGCATTCTTATCAGGACGACCTGACCAAAATTGTCGTCTAGCCAAGTCCGTTTGAGGGATTTTCGTGTGAAATTTTATGTTAAAATTTTGTAAGCATATTCTTATAATATCTCCACAAAATTCCATTTTAAAATTCGATCCGAAGATCATTTAATGAAATTGTCGGAAAACATTGTGCCTTATATGCATATAAAACGTACAGTGTTTTTAAATCGGAAATTGTCCTAAATAGGACTAAAAAGTTCCTAAAAAGCACAAATAGGACTACTATTTTTAAAATTCCCTAAATAGGACTAAACATTGATTTTCTACCCTAAATACCCCTAAGAGTATTAATTCATAACGAAATGCTTTAATTCATAATAAAATCACAAAAAAAGTAAACAAATATTTAAAAAACGTAAAAAAATTAAAAAAAAATTATAAAACATTTATAAAATAAAAAATTTATTTTTTTATTTTTTTAATTTTTTAAAAAAAATAATAAAAAATAGTAAAAACCCATAAAAAATGAAAAAAATTATGGATACCTTTCTCACCGCCTCCCGCCGCCTCCCAGCACCACCACCTTCGATTGGTGAAATTTCTTCCACTTTTGGTAAAAAAATGCCATATTTTTCTGAAAATGCCAAAAAGATGGCATAATTACTCTTCAATATGCCAACATTTTCATTGATTATGCCATCATTATGGCATTATTTAAAATGTTGGCATATATTTGTCCGGTGATGGGAGATGGTGGTGTTGGGGGTGGCAGGGGTGGTAATGTGTTTTTTTAGTTTTATGGTTTTTTTTTTTTTTTTTTTTTTTTAAAAAATATTTTTTTTTATTTTTTTAAAAAAATATTTTTATTAATTTTCTATTATTTTTTTACGATTTTTAGTATTTTTTTCGATTTTTATTAATTTTTTTATGATTTTATTATTAATTAAAACATTTCACAAGTTACAAGGGTATATTTGTCCAAACACACATAAATAGTCCTATTAAGGGAATTTAAAAAATGTAGTCCTATTTGTGCAATTTTTCCACTTTTTAGTCCTATTTAGGGAATTCACTCTTTTTAAATACATTGATTTAAACTTTTATCATCTAGCCTTGGGCACATCTGCAAACGCTAAAGAGTCGCTTCTCGACTTTTGATAAAAGAAAAACTAAAAAGTGTGTTTTCAAGTGACAGATGTACACATTTGAAACACTTGGGAAAAGTAGAGCCGTGATGGATGTGCACATTTGAAACACTTGTCTGTCTACACATACAGAGTGGAAACATATACTATACAACCGGCTGTACGGTGTCAGCCCTACAGCCGGTGGCAGATTTGTAATTTTGGTGAAAAACATGACTTCTCTTGAATGAGTTTTAATGCAATTTTGGCGAGCATCAAGTCTGTTATTTTTAGTATTAGGAGGCTAAGAACGAGCATCACTATACTCTGCTTCTTATTCAGTTTCTTTTTATTATTATTTTTTTCGTTTATAAAAAAAATCTTAAATTCAGTCTATAATCAATTTCAATATGTGAATCTAATGTAAGATGATATGTTTGAAATGTGTAACATTTAAAAATTAGCATAAAGTGGTGTCAAACGAGCATACATAACTTACAAAATAAGTATAAAAAAAATCAAAAGCACGTTTGTGTATGCTCATTCATTTTGGGCGTGACATTCATCTGAATTTAACATAAAACTAATTTCTTCTGTGTTAATATCCATACGTGTAAATTCATTCTTCTTAGGCATTATACTCACTTGACTTTAATATGAAACTCATTTCGATACAATATGACAGATATAGCAAGAGACAGTAAGCGAGAAACAAGCTAGCGCGAAAAAAAGGGGTCAGGAAGAATCCGAATCTTAGGTCGAAAGCGAAGCCATGTTTCGCTGCGCCAATCGATCAGGGAATGTGGTGGCTTGGGCCGCTTCGTGAGTTGGAGACCTAGGCAGTCGATGTTTCGTTTTCATCAATGTCCTTTGTCGTCTTCATAGATATTTGCAGCGCGAATTAGGTACAACCGGAGTGTACGGTATAATTTACGATACAGAGTTGCCTGTATAAAAATCTATAAGGCCCTGTAGAGTTGTATGTATAATAACAACTTACGAATAACTATATCTCCATACACAGACGTGTATGTCAAAAATGTAAATTATTTTTTGATCATCAAAACAGCTTTTCATTAATGTAGAGCAAACATGCAATACAAAATCGAGAAAACAAGTACAGACCCGATCGTAAGCCTAAGAATAGACTTAGAGTCAGCCACCATACAAAGCAACTTGACTCGCTAGACACAAAACGGACAAGAAGAAGCCTAAAACGACCGAAAATGAAACACTGCCTATAAAAAGTTCTTCAAAAATCAAAATACTCCAACCATATTCTTTCGAACCGAATTAAAAATAAGTACTATGAACCGAAAAATAATACGAAAATAAAAACTTTCCCCAAATTGCTTCCTCACACGGAGGTGGTTCCGGAGGAGAGCGAGCTGTGTAGTATGGTAAAAGAGAATTTCAACCCCCGGAAAATTCACCCGAAACCCTATCTTTTTGCACTCGTCAATTTGCTATTGCCAATTTCCTCCATGATTTTTGTCATTGAAATCCATGTCAGAGCTACAAAAGAAAACGCTATCATGTTGCCTTGTGTTTCTTCGTCGACAAAAATCCAAGCCGATCCCAACAATCCTTGCGTCCCACTCACGTTCGGAAACTCCCAAATGGAAAACCGCACAAAGCTCTCGTTCCACGAGAATCCAAGCAGCATGAGCGAAACTTGATGGAACAAAAAGCCCTAACTATGTAGGAGAGAAACGACGAGGAATCACCTAGAAAGAGAAGCTCCTATGTAAAAAATGTACTCCCTCCGTCCCGCAATAAACTTCACACTTTCCTTTTTGGGCAGTCCCGAAATTAACTTCACACTTCAAAACTTTCCTTATTTGGCAAATTATCTACATCAAAATAGTGCAAAACAGTGTCAAACAGTGTCCAAACAGTGTCAAACAACGTCCAAACAGTGTCAAACATTGTTTGAACAGTGCAAAACAGTGCACTCCACAGTAAAGTCAAATTTATTTTCTTAATATGTGTAAAGTCTGAAGTTTATTGCGGGACGGAGGGAGCATATAAAAAACTTATACACCCAACATTTTTCATCCATCTTAAATAATGATGCCTTATTTCGGATAATGATGCCTTTATCCTTTTTGAAAGCCCACTTGGAGAAAACCAAAATGTTAAAACTTAAAAGCGTCCATTCCGGGAGCCTCCACTGTCCTTATGCACGCGCCGGGACCAAAACTCCAAGACCCAGCCGCGAACATGGGAGTCCTCCAGAGACTCAGTTCAGATGAGCTCCGATTCTTCAACTCTCAAGGTTACCCTCTCAATTTCCCCTTTGAGATAGAGAGAGACAGATGCACGCAATAATCTGTAAAATACAAGTCAGTTAACCTGAAGTGAGTGGTATTTTGATCAGGGTATCTTGTGCTGGAGTCGTTTTCCACGGCAGAAGAGATCGAATCGATGATGGTGAGAATGGAGGAGCTGCTTGACGGGTTTGATTGTTCCTCCACCACCTCGATTTTTTCCACCAAGAATCAGGTCAACTCTTTCCCTTGACCCATTCTGCACTGCCCTAACGATATACTCATCTTCAGAATTCCCAAAATTCCCTTCTTTGAGGTTTTTGTTTGCTGTGGGTTTCAGAAGGAAACTAGTGACAGTTACTTCTTTGAAAGCGCTGAGAAGGTTTCGTTCTTCTTTGAAGGTACCGTGTAGCCTTTATTGTATCCTGTTATTATATTTTCTGTTTTGATTGATGTTTTTTTTAAAATTTTGAAAAATTGCAGAGAGGGCATTTGGGGATAACGGTAAATTGAAACAGCCAAAGCATCTCTCCATAAACAAAGTTGGCCACGGTAGGTAGGCGGTAGCCTAACTAAGTGCAACTTCCTCACTTTTTTATTATTGCCACTATCTTTTTGAATCTTTAATGTGGTAACCCTCCTCTCTAATAATTTTATCTTGAGTATATGATCTAACAAAACAGTGCAATGTTTATTTTCTGAGTAAATCTGAAATTTGATTTGTTTCCTCACTTTCCTGAGTTTTGCAGCTTTGCATGAAATTGATCCCGTGTTTAAGAAGCTCTCTAGTCCAGAAAAAGTTTCTGGGCTACTCCAGTCTTTGGGTTATCAGCGGCCAGTGGCTCTTCAGTCCATGTACATATTTAAGGTACTTAAAAAACTCTTTTGCTGTATGTTTGCTTTGAAGAGAAAAATCAACGTGTTCCATATGGGGTGTCTTAGCCATCTCAGGTATTACTGATGTTCCCACATTGCATTTCAGATGCTAACTCGCGTTGGTGTTAACCATTGCTTAATACTACGTAGTTATATAGAGCAGCTTTTGTTTCATTTGTTGTTTGTTTTAGTTTTTTAGGTCTTGTTTATTTTGTTCTATTTATTTTATCTTTTATTATGTATTTTGAAACACTTAATGCTAATATAAAGTTATATACTGTAAGCGTTTGCCTGTACACATGATAGATGAACACTTATATCATATCTAGACCACAGCTAATCCAGGAATTGGGAAAATGTCTGATTAAAAACTGTTGGTGTTATAGATGTGAGAAACTATTGGCTAAAATCCTAAAACCCATATATCTATATAACTTTATAACTTGATCTCAATGAGCTTCTTCCATCAATTACTAAACAATGAGAAAATGATAAATAAGAAATACAACATCCAAGCCTTATTACCAAAAGAGTTTGGGGCAGGACAAAATGAATCGACATAATATCGGAGTTAAAACATGACAAAAAATTGGAAGAATTATGTTTTTACTGTAAAGTATTGAGAGAGATATTAGAAAAGAAAGAGATAGTTTTGCGTTTGACTAACATCTATGTGCAGATACTCATCACACTTGGAAACTTGAGGGCCTGTTTACTACAGAGAAATTTTCCTGTTTTCTACTTCTGTTTTTCGTTCTCCAATTTTCTGTTTTTATTTTTCAGTTTTTCTATCTCCAATTTTCTGTTTCTATTTTTTAGTTTTTCATTTTCAAATCTGAAAACATGTTCATCAATTTTTTCACCCAGTTCTCCAATTCCAGACCCCTACCCTTACCACGATCTTACACTCTACCCATACTCCCCCTCAACTCTTCATACCCACCCATACCTACTCGTAGGGGTCGGGGTAGGGAAGTTGTGGGTGGGGGTGGGGTAAGGGGTATGGGTCGGGGTGGAGTGGTAAGGTCTAGGGGTTGGGGGTTGGGTGGGGGTTGTTGGTGGGTTAGGGTCGTGGTTAGGAGTAAGGGTGGGGTAGTGGGTAGGGTTTGGGGCAAGGTAGAGGTAGGGTTTGAAGTTGGGATAGGATGGCGGTAGGGTGGGGCCGGGACCAGGGTGGGGTCGAGACCAGGGTTCGACTGAGGTAGGGAAGGGGTAGGGGTGGGGGGTAGGATGGCGGTAGGGGTGGGGGTAGTGGGTAGGGTTGTGGTAAAGTAGGGGTAGTGAGATAGGATGGCGATAGGGTGGGCCCGGGATCTGGGTGGGGCCGAGATAGGGGAAGGGTAGGGTGGGGGTAGGATGGCGGTGGGGTGGGGCCGAGGTAGGGACATGTGGTAAGGGGTAAGGGGTAATATACGGGTGGGGGTATGGTAGAGTGGGTTGGGGTGGGGTCGAGGTGGTAGGGGGGTGGCAGTAGGGTGGGCCCGGGATCTGGGTGGGGCCGAGGTAGGGGAAGGGTAGGGTGGGGGGGTAGGATGGTGGTAGGATGGCGGAAGGGTGGGGGTAGGATGACGGTACGACGGTGGGGGTAGGATGGCGGTGGGGCCGAGGTAGGGGCATGTGGTAATGGGTAATATACGGGTGGGGGTAGGGTAAGGTGGGGTCGAGGTGGTAGGGGGTGGTGGTAGGGTAGAGTGGATGGGGGTGGGGCCGGGGTGGGGTAGGGTCATTTTAGGGGAAAATGGGTATGCGGGGTGGGGTTGGGTGGGTAAGGTGGGGTGGGGTAGGGTAGGGTAGGGGTAAGGGGTAAGGTACGGGGATGGAGGTACCGGAATGGAATCGACATCAGAGCGGGACCGGACCCACCACTAGGTGTAAGTATGCAAATTCATTGCAGCGGCACTGCAGCATCTTTGTTTTCCAAATTTGGAAAACTAGTAAAAGTCACTTCTCCAAATCATTAAGGAAAAGAGAGACATGTCTCATTTTTTCCGTTTTGGAAAACGGTTTGGTAAACGCGTTTTTCTTTTTTCCTTTCTCCAGTTTTCCATGAATTTCTTTGGTAAACACGTTTCCTGTTTTCTGTTTTCCAGTTTTCCAGTTTTCTAGAAAACTGGAAAATATCTATGTTAGTAAACAGGCCCTGAGTTTTTGTGTCGAGTGACATTTCAAGTTTTTATTTTCAGCAACCGGGTATTGGTGGTGAAGTTGTACCACACCAGGACAACTCATTTCTTCATACTGAACCACGAAGTTGTACAGGCTTGTGGCTGGCTTTAGAGGATGCAACAGTTACAAACGGTTGTCTCTGGGCCATTCCAGGGTCTCATAAAAGTATCAAATATAAGTCTTTTCTTTAGTATACTCGTGCTTTTATGAAGTTAATGAATGCATGAAGTCACTATAAAATTTGTTTTTTTTTTAAATTTTTTTCTTCTCCAGATGGCCTTGTGAGGAGATTTATTAGAGATGAGGACGGGGTTCACTTTGATAAGCCGTCCCCATCATATGACCAAAAAGATTTCGTTCCTATCGAAGTCAAAGCTGGCACTTTGGTTGTCATTCATGGTGATCTTATCCACCAGAGGTCAGAATTTCATAAAAAAAGATTATCAGTTGCTCACTGTCCATTATGGATGTATGATCGAGTGCATAGTTGCGTACCATTCGACCTCCATTTCTTTTTTCTTTTTATTTCACAGCTTCGAGAATAAGTCTGGAAAATCAAGGCACGCTTACAGTGTGCACATAGTCGACACAGATGGATGCAAATGGTCAGAAGACAACTGGTATGTTCGTTAGTTCCCTCATCATTTGTTTTTGTTATTGTTGAAGCAACCTTCCACACTTAGTAAACAATAGTGGGTTTTGTTTTTTTGTTAACGGGTGAGCAATACTTTCAGTAGAGGCATCCGCTTGTTTTTTCCCTAATTGAAAATGGCCTCATACACTAAGTATGTTCAGGATTTTATGCACTACAGGTGTCAGTGTAGTTAGGTGTTTAACACACTCTAAAGTAGTGTTGATATAAATAGTAATGCAATTGGATGGAAGTGAATTCCTCCAACTACAATGGAATAATTTAGAATTCATTCAACATACAATATTCTGCCCATTTAGTAATAATTTGATAAGCGTTTAATAATTAGTGCCGATTGTAGTAATTAATACCAATTCATTTATTCATACATTAAAGCATCATTTAAGAAAAACCCATGCACTTCATATCATTTTGTACTTTAGTTTTCATAACCCAAACTCTTTAAAACAAACTTCTCTGTGTATATTTTTATTGGTATTTATCACTACAATCATCAATTGTATACTTGCAAATGATGCACGGTTGAGTCCAACTGTAGAAGATCATTTCTAGCCGTGGCTAATAACGTAGCTTCTAACATTCGTATTAATTGAAGTACAATACTTGAGGTAAAAAATGAAATTACATAAGAAATACTATCGTAGTATATAAGCACCAAGCCACCAATGCTTAAGAATGATGATCATTTCCTTCACAAAAACACTGAACTAGCAAAAACAAATATAAAAAGGTGTTTTCCTTAAATATGACTAAATTGAAGGTCATTTCTTAGAAAGTGACTAAATTTACGTAAAAACAAAAATTGTGGCTAACAAGATAATAAATTTGGAAAAACATGATTTTATGGGGTTTCCCTTAAATATGACAAAATCAAAGCTCATTTCTTAAAAGCTGCAATATTTTTATGTCACTTTCACTGTCACATATGTCATTGCCACCGTGAAACATTCCACTGGGACCAATGGAAAATTTTCCCACGACTTTTTTCCACCGAATTTTGAAAAAAATTGAAAAACAAAGAAAAAATTCATCAAACTTTTCCAGTGACTTTTCTGGCAGCAGTTTCCAGTGGCGATTTCCGGATGTGGGGTGGGGGAGGGGCTGGGCAGAGATCAGACAAAATTACAATGCGAATTAATTTGGATTAGTTAAACAAAAGGTTACTCATATTTTTGGAAAAAAGGAAAACTTGTCCCTTTTTGTATTTTAAAAAGCTAAATGTAATATTTATATCCCTTTTCCATATAAAAACTATGAATTAATTAATGGATTGAATTTCATATAGTTTTGTTTTTGGAACTTAGCAATTAGCATTCAACATTTGCTTTTGTCACATAGGGCGTCTTATCTAGTTTCGTTGTACAAATACTTTGCCAATAGGAAGTAAGATAACATTATTTGGGTAATGTAGAGGAAAATGTAAAAATTGAAGTGTTGAAGCCATAAAGGACATGATCATATCCAGTAATAGTATTATTAGATAAATAACGGAAAATTCTCATGCACTGTTATGAACGTTAGACTGGCCTGTAAGTCTGTAACATATGTGATAGCGCAAAGTGTGATGTGCAAACTGTAAATGAGTTATTTTATTATTATTGTTTACTTCAGCGTGATTGCTAAGAATGTGTACTTTCTTATGTACAATGGTTCAGGATTAGGAGGAAGACGATTCCAGAACCCATATACAGCTCTTGACATTCATTTGTCTTCAGCTGTGCTGTTTTAGAAGCTGCTGCTGCTGTTTATGTATATACAAACATGAAACATGTCAAACCTGAATACTTGCAGTGACAGAATCACACTTTTTAGTGTTAAATCTCACATGGAGAACATTCATATGCTTACCGTACAACATTAAATAAACTTTTTAGAGGAACATGTAATTAAGTGAAATCATGTCTACATAATGTGATAATGATCTATTCATGTAGGACAAAGACTTCCCAAAGAGCTTAGAGTTTTCAAACATGGTAGTTGGGTCAACTTTTTCACTCTCTAAAATTTTGTAGTTACAAAAGTAAAACTATAGTTTTCTGTTGTTGAATTGGCTTATTTTGCTGAAAGGGTTACTTTATTTTTTTTCATACATATTTTTCTTTATTAGTTCATAAATAAATGAGCTGAATTCAAATAAGAACAACAATGACATCATTTTTTCAAGGGGTTTGGCATCAATGTTACTATATAGAAGTATAGAACTAATAGAAGTCTTGGACAAAATTGGATTAGTTTTCTTTTTTGGCAACTGGATTAGTTTTAAAATTGCTAAAACACATTTCCACAAATAATATTTAGATGACATTTTAAACTAACATCTATAAATAATTCAAAGATACTCTTTAACTTACGAGTATTAAATAAAATAAAAACACTTTTCTTAACTATTTTGTATTCGGTAAATATCTTGTGGTTTGATGACATCATTGTGACACTTCCGGGAAAGAGGTCACATGTTCAAATCACATATATGACTACCTGTTTGAGGATGTTGATCTTAACATAGAACAAACATTATAACAAGTAAGAAGCTTTGTCAAATCTCATACCAGTTTAAGGATGTTAGAAGCTTTGCCAAAAAAAGACTATTCAGTATTCACATTTTGAGTGGAAAAACACATTTTGTACACGTAGTAACTAAGAAGCCGGAGACATACACCGATACACGGCATTACTTCATGTTTAGCCTTTAAGTCTAGTCGTCTAGACATGGAAATTGCAACCTTAGCTAAAACACGAATCACACTGGATAGTTTTACATGCCAATAAGATAAGACCAGAATTATTTAATACACCCGAATGAGATCTCGTTATATGCAATTACATGTCTAACCTAATTAGGCAAGTTTAAGCCTTGCCATCTTCTTCCGTTGCCTTAGCCTCGAAATTCTCATCTTTGAGAGGACCATAAGCCTTGCTGAAAGCTAGGTAACACAGGAAATTGGTGATGCTTAATCCAGCAAGCACCCAATGTAAATAATTATAGTGACCTTTGTTAATGTTACTAGAAATCCAGCTCTCTTTCCCTCCTCTTTTAGTCAAGTTATCGATGGTGGTCATAAGAAAGCTTGACAAAAGGCTGGCAATGGCTGTGCTTAGCATGCAAAGACTAGAAGCTATGCTCGACATGCTCTTAGGGAACTCCGAAATATAAAATTCATTTTGCGAGATTCCGTTCAATCCCTCCGCGAATCCCATAAGGGCATATTGGGGCAGCACCCACAGTATGGACATGTGGATCACCCCATCAGGGTTATTTTCATATCCCTCATTGATCGCCACCGCTCGTCTCATACTCTCCACAGTTGCCATTGCAGCCATTGACAGGAACGAAATGAAGATCCCGCACCCCATTCTCGATTTCGTGCTAAAATGCACGGGCTTACCCCTGATTCTGGATGCCAAAGGTAGTAAGATGCGGTCGTATAGTATGATCCAAGCAACAATGAACACTGCAGCGAATGAGGATACTGAACCTGCTGGTAGTTGAAACTTTGAACCGATATGGCGGTCCAGAGAGGTTGCTTGAAGGACCGCAAAAGAACCCTGACAAATATTTAGGGACATTACAATCCTTGTGATCCATATTGGGATTACCTTTATTAAGGATTTTAGCTCCTCCACTTGATCAACGGTGCAAAGCTTCCAAGGATTCACAGCTGTTCCATCTGCATTTAGGTCTCGTTCAGGATCTTGTATAATGCAGGCCTTATTCAGAAACCTACAACAAGAAAAAGGAAAGAAACTTAAATCAAAGCAAGATGTATGGTCAATTGCTATTTTGCGCTCAGTTTGTTTACAAAGAAATGCTACATGGATATCGCCTCCAAAAAGTTTTTTTTTTTTTTTTTAAAATCTCATACATTTGATTTGTAATCAGTTTTATTAATCCCTCTAACTTTCATGTGTTTGGCACCTAAAACACCACCATCAAAATACTTTGCTTATTGTTAGAGTTTTTTGGGTTAAAACATTACTTTTTAAAGAAATAACGGAAAATAAGAGCGAAACAAGCATCAAATCATATGAACAAATAGAAATATCCTTGTTTAGTTCAGAAGTTGGGACTTATTTAGTCCTAACTCCTAATAATGAATAAAAGCCATTAATAACTTATTTTAGATCTATCGATGAATATTCTTTAGGTATAGAGAACAACTTATTTTACACGCAAAAACTTCTCTAGAAAACGTCATCTCTAACAAGCTATTTTGTGAAAACAATCCAATTCTTAGTTCATACCCCAAGTAATTTACATGATATAGTTCTAGCCCCCGATTGTTATTGGGAAGGAATAATATTAAGATCCGGGCCCCAGAGTTTCATTCTAAAAATCAACTAGATAAGAGTAATAACTCAAAATCTTATACAGTGCGTGAATGATTAGCTATAATATTAAGACTCATAGATTCCATCTTAGATCAACTTGATCGAAGAGATAGCATGAAATCTTAATGATTTATTGTATTATACGAATTCTGTATCAAACAAATACTTAAACAACTAAATTACCAGCATGTGATAGATTTAGGAATGGTTTTTTTTTTTCAAATCTAGTAACTAGTAAGTAAGAAGCTAAGCTTTTTTACCTCAAGCGGCATCAGTTGTTTAAGAACTAACCTTAGCTTGTCACTTGGATGACTGAGAGCTGAACCTTTTGAATGATATTGAAGTTCTGTATCTCCCGAAAAAAGTTTGATATGTCTATTCCTATAAGAGGCAACCATCACGTTAAACAAACCGTTGACCAGGTTCTTGGTTGGGTTCGGTCTCAAATACCAAACCGAACCGGAGAAGAATGTGAGCACTGCAAAGAGCGCGAGTGCAACAAGAACACCATAGCCGAGTCTCCACCCATAGTTTTCTTGGAGGTAAACCAAACCGACCGAACCAACTATTGCAGAAAACGAACCGGTGGCGTAAGACCAGCTGAAATAACTCTCTATTTTACTTGCATTGTTCTGAAAATGCTTCAACTGATCAGCACCAAATGCTAAAGAGGATGATGTCACCCCACCGCATCCGACCGCGGTCAGGATAAGAGCTGTGCATAGCAGAATGAGCTGTGGTGTGGTGGCAGGGGTACAACTGTCACTTGATTCACTACAAGGACGAGGCTTGGCTTGCATGATCGCTGTTGGTAGCCAGATGAGTAGTGTTCCCTTCACAAAATTCAAGTTTATGTTCATTCTAAAATATGCTGAATTATGAAAAATCGTATCAAATATATATTTTATCAGTATATAGAAAAAAATGAGAAAGACTAAAAGTCTACAACAGTCGTTTTGCATCAACTTAAACCAAGATAGCAAATGCAGTATTATTTATCTCATTATTAACCTCTGGAGACAAGAAATTATAGTTTGTTAAAAGAAATCGAATCAAACGGCCACTATGTAAAATTTCATTCCTAGCAGATAGCAGATTATGTCATTTCATTGGTAACAGTGGATTTTGTTTACTGTTTTGACTAGTAGATATGAGTAACATTATGAAGCAAGGTGTTTAGTTAATTAGTTGTTCAGAGTTAGTTGATAAATGTAAAAAGAAGAAAAAGGATATGAATACACAAGTATATGTTTAAATGATTTTTCTATTTTTTATCATTAAAACTTTAAACCGTTTTTCAAATTTACATACTCCGTATATTATTATTACTCTTATTTTCACCACTATGAATTTCATTATATATATGGCTTAAATAGGTTATAGTCCCTTCAAATATGACACACTTTATTTTAGGTTCCCGCAAAATATTTTTTGTTTTGTTATTCATCTCAGTAATATGTGTTAGCACAAATTTAGTGACGTTTTTGAAAAATCAGGAAATAGTCTTTATTTATACATAACATACTTTTTAGTTATATTTATGTCAAAACCAATTATAATTTGTCACTTTAAATATCACAGAAGAGGAGTAGTACAATTAATAATTGAAGTATTAAAGGCATGAAAGAGGAGGAAAAGTAGAAAAGGAAAATAAAGAAAAGGTAGGAAATAAATTAAAAGAAGAAAAGGTAGGAGAGAAAGAAAAAGAATATGGTAAAAGTTTCAAAATATGAAAAGTGGATGAAGAGGAAGCGGTCCAGCCCAGCTGGTCGCTGACTCACTCTCCCTTGTGGGAAGTCCTAGGTTCAATTCTCAATGGAGTGAGATTGATCCCAACTCCCCCCTCCCCCCTCTCCCTGACGCCCCTGGGGTAAAAAAAGTATGAAAAGTGGATGAATTATAAAAAAAAACATCCACAAAATGAATAAATGACACTTAAAGATGTTCTAATTGATTTGCATTTTGCGACTTTTAATGTTGAATCACAATAAATTTAAATCTTCTATGCAAATAGTTATGATTAAGGTGTACATATTCAAAAACTATATTCAAAGTTCTATAAAGTCACAAAATCCAAAATAGAAAGTAATTAATAAAAAGATATCATATATAAAATCAAATTATATTAACAAAAATATTAGACTCTGCAAATAATCATTTTTAGATATAAAGAAGTAGGTTTTCAATAGTTCAAGAAAGTGATAAAATTAGACTTGAGAGGGTATGTTAGACTTAAAGATAAAAATTAAATAAAAACAAAAACAAAAACTCACTTGTATTTCCTAAAAGTTACTGTACAAAATTGTAAGGAATCGACTTTTCAACTTTGAACGTTTGATTTCCTCAAAAAAAAGTTTGAACGTTTTATATTTCTATTTTCTTCTTATTATTCAGTTTTTCTATTTAATAAATAACCTTTTCATAGGCGGAATGGTATAAGGATGTTTGTTTCAGGATGTTTTCTTTGGACTGTTTTCAGTCCCAGACCAGACCAGACTTTCGTAGTTATAAAATATACAGAGACCAGACATTTACCAGACCAGTTCAGACCAAACCGGATCACACCAGCAAATTTCAGTCCTAAAGAAAACATTCCAACTATCCAAATATTTTTCTTGCTTATTTTGTTGAACACATAGAGCCCATTTGACAATGCCCAAATTGGTTGCACAGACTGGTTTTGTTGATATTTATGAAATTCTTGCTAAAGTGGATGAATTGGCTGATTATGTTGATTTATGAAAAAACTTATATCTAAAAATATATTTCATGAATAAAACAAATAAGAAATTATATGAAAAATAGCTAAAATGATCCTCTGCAATAATTTCAGCTAATACAACCTGAATTTAACTCCAACCTTACATTTTCTTCTTATTACACAATTCATCATACGAGCTCACAGTTTAAGTTTTTAACTATTCTTCATGTAACTTTTTTATCTTATCAATAAAGTATTCGTTTCCAATTAATCTTTCCATATTTTAAAAATTGCTAAGCACAACATTTAACACACTATTTAAGGAGGAAAGTAATACGATAATACAAATAATGAATAGCCTAGAAAAGCACTAAAAAAAGTGTAAAGAGTTAAAAAGAAAATAAAAAGTAAACAAAATAAAGAGCCCGTTTGGTAACACTAAAATTGGCCGAATTGGCTGATTCTGCTGAAATTTTTGAAGTTCTGGCTGAAGTGGCTGTATTGGCTGATTCATAAAAAAATTATATTTAAAATATTTGTTATTAATAAATAAAATAAAAAATTATATGAAAAATAGCTAAAATGATTCTCTACAATAACTTTAGCCAATACAGCCGGAAAAGTAACTCTAGCCTTACTTTTTCTACTTATTATTACATAATTTTGCGCGCGAAAGCAAAAATTGCGTGTTTGGTGAAAAAAGTGACTGATAAGCCTGATAAGCCGAAAAATGGGGTCACCAAGAGCCCATTTGGTAGCACAAAAATTGGCTAATTTGGCTGATTCTGCTGAAATTTATGAAGTTCTGGTTGAAATGGCTGCATTGGTTGATTATGTTGATTTAAGAAAAAATTAATTTTAAAATATATTTTATTTAAAAAGTAAAGAAAAAATTATACTACCTCCGGTTTTTTTTAATCTTCACAGTTTGACTTCACACAAAATAAGGAAAGAAATTTGACTTTACTGTAGAGTACACTGTTGAGGCACTGTTTGACACTGTTTGGCACGGTAGAGACACTGTTTGGCACTGTTGAGACACTGTTTGACACTGTTTGGCACTGTTTTGATGTAGATTTCTTTGCCAAAAAAGGAAATAAGGAAGTGTGAAGTTTATTTTAGACCGTCCCAAAAAGGAAAGTGTGAAGTTTATTAAAAACCGGAGGGAGTATGTAAAAATAGCTAAAATGATCGTCTACAATAAATTCAGTCAATACAGCCAGAAAAGTAACTCCAACCTTACTTTTTCTGCTTATTACACAGTTCAGCGAATGAAAGCAAAAGTTACGTGTTTGGTGAAAAAGCTGTCTAATAAGTCTCATAAGCCGAAAAACAGTGTTGCCAAACGGCCTCGAAACGGGCTCAAAGTCAAATACTACCTCCGTAACATTAGAATCTTCCCAAATGGAAAGTTGGTGAAATTATGAATAGTGATAGGGAATATAAATTATTGAGGGTATGATGGGAAGATAATAAAATAGTGTGGTGGAATGAAGGATAATTCCAAAAAAAAATAGGTGGAATAGTGTATTATTTTTAAATTTATTGAGGATATGATGGGAAGGTTTAGAAATGAGAAGATTATTTAGTTACGGATAAAAAAGGAAAGTGAGAAGATCTTTCTGTTACGGAGGTAGTAAATAGTTTTAAGGCAAACTTATAAAAGGGGAAACTTATCCTAAAAAGGAAAGCACATTAATGAGAGGATGGGTGAAGTGAAATGAAATACTTGCTTAGAGCATCTCCAATGCTATGATGTGCACGGTGTACATGTGGCATGAGTGATGACCACATAAATATTAGCAAATAAATTATCTCTCTCCTTATTTGAATGATTTCATACAATTTTGGTAAGTTTTTCCCTGCAATGTCAACAACAATGTCAACATCGAGACGGTCTCCTAGAATTGTAGAGAAAAACTTACCAAAACTGTATAAAATCATTCAAATAAGGAGAGAAAGAATTTATTTATTAATATTTATGTGGCTATTTCTTATGCCACGTGTGCACCGTGCACATTTTACCATTGGAGATGCTCTTACCAAAGAGAAAAGTATAGACCCAAATCCCATCATTCCAAACCGACCCACCAAAGAGTCGGCCATGAAAGCTCCGATTATGGGGGCAGTGTTAGAGAGGGCAGAGAAAATGTAGATGTAATTAGAGGCAGAAGCCATTTCCATATGAAACTCTTTCATCAAATACACTATCATGTTTGCTCCCATTGCTGCTGCCACCATACACATCAACGCAGAACTCCCTGTTCATCATTATATTTATCCATCCATTACCATTTCTTCTGTAACAAATAGAAAGGAAGAAGAAGCTAGAAGAAATCAAATCTCAAAAAGACATGGGGCTGTTTACCAATGATGAAAGGCAGGGTTTTGAAGCCACCCTTAGGAGAGACATGAGTTTTTGGTAATAATAGCTGCTTTTGCTCCTCACCCATCTTTTCCATGAGTTAATTTTCAAAGTGTAATAATGTGAGTATTTCACACGCATAAATCTCTTGTTTGAGGACTGTTAAATCCGCACATGTCTGGGAAGGATGAGTTGAATTATTTCACTACGTAGTGCACATTGGTTATAGGTGGTGGAGCAAAGTTATACGGAGCACTACCAACTCTTATCAGTCTGACAGAGGCAGGACAGATAGAGATTAATTAAATTATCTTGTCATTGAATTTTATTTTTGAATTACACTAAACAAAGTAAAAAAGTAAAGTGAAAATCAATATTAGCGTCTGAGGCTATGCTATAATTATTAATGCAATCTTACATTTTCAAAATTCAATTATTTGATCCTTGAGTTTTTATCGGCCCCCTCACGTTATTATTTGTTAAATTAAATTTAATATAACTTTTAAATTTAATGAAAGTTGGCTGTATATAAAATTTAATTTTAAAGTAAAATACAATTTAGCATCATAATTATAAATCATTGTTGTTGATCGTTGTTTTTTTTCTTATCTACTCGATCATGGAATAGATACTAATGAATGTAGTTAAGAGAGAAGTTTCACGATATAAAATCGCACTTTAAGTCCTTTAAATAGTCACCATATTGAAATGTCAGACCTGTGTTCCCTTAGCGATCCGATTTGGTCAACGACCAGGGAGTCTATATCGGTTCGATCGACAACTTGGTGGTTCGGTACCCTATTTTTAAATCATTTTTTCGAAGTGAAACGTTTCAAAAGAGATATTGGGTTACCAACCAATAAGGATAAGGGAAAAGGAAAAAGAATTAGTCAAACTAGCTGTTGAGACAGACCGAGACTGGCCGATTTATGTCCCAACATAACTGTATACCCAGGACCAGGTATCCTACATGGGTTTTACTAGGTTTGGGGTCCCAGACCGGAACCGTACTTTCGGTTTTCCGGACGATTCCAGAATCGGGTGAAAAAAATTGATAAGACATATTTCCACAAAAAATTAAAAAATACAAACAGAGAATTAGAGAACAAACGAAAAGAATGGGAAATGTTTCTATGAGCATTGAGTAAATGAGTCTTTTTTTTTAGTGGAGGAGAAAATCCAAAGTTCTAGAATGACGATGACAAAAGCTAAAAGTAAAAATCCCTACTCCATTAATATCGGACGGTAGTTCATTTCAGGTATAACCACCACATGTGCACATTCAAATCATTTTTGATAGTACGGGGTAGTACAGAATCGTTATTTGTGGCCGTCTGCCGCGCCGAGTGAGTAAGTTGTTCTCGGTATATCATACCTCACCCAACAACTATGGCGATCTAATCAATCTATTCTAAGAATGTTTTTAATTTAACTGAAGTTTTCTAGTATGTTACTCCCTCCGTCCCTAAATAAACTTTCAACTTTCCTTTTTCGTCCGTCCCAATTAAAACTTCCACTTTCCCATTTTGGTCAGAATTTGTGGTTCACAACAATTCTTACACATTTCTCTCTTCTCTGCACAACTCTCCACCACACAATACCCACTATCTTAAACTCTGTGCCAAACCTATTTGGAAGATATAATAGGGACGTAGGGAGTATTTTATAATTTCATGTTCGGTCCGATTAGATTGATTGATAAATGTCTGAGTTCTGTGTATTTTATAATTATCAAAGTCTGGTTTGTTTAATTCCGTTCTAATCTAGTATTAAAATAAATCTAAGTAAAAATATTCTAATTTCTTTTATCTAAAAATTAGTATAATTATTTCCAAAACTTCCATCAATATGTGGAGAACTTATTTAAACAATAATTATGTACTTCCTCTGTCCCAAAATAAACGTCTTGTTTGCTTTAGCACAAGTTTTAAAAGTGGTTGAAAAGACAAAAGTTGTGGTTGATATATGAATGGAGAAAATGTGAGTTTATATGAGCCACATATTATTGTCAACAGAGGAAAGAAGATAATTATTTTGGAACGGACCGAACATGAAAGTAGGAAAGTTATTTCGGGACGAATGGTGTAATTGCTCGAAATAGGACAATTTCATTTGAGGATACCTAGTTACTTTTTTAGTATGATGTCAGGATGCCACAAGCGTAGCTCACTTGATGGGAAGGAGTGCGAAAAGGGAGAAGTCTCATGTTTATTAACTCCAAACAAAAACCTGAACCCCACTCTCTTTCCATTGGTGTGTAGGGGTGAGCAAAACCGACCCTACCTGAAAAACCCGATCGGATATACCCAATTTTGTGTGAATGGGTCGGTTGACCCGACCCGCCTAGTTAAACCGACCCGCCAGCCCGTTAAATTTGGGCCGATTAATATCGGGTAGGGTACTCCCACTGCCTACTCGACCCGCCCGAAAACTCGACATAGCCCAAGCCCACTACCCACAAGCCCATACCCATTAACCTATAACCCATTAACCCCAACCCTATTTCCCTTATCCGGTTATCCACTTATCCATCTTTCCCTTCTCCGGTTAACCCTAACTTACACTCTCTATCTCTCTGACTCTCTCTAAGTGGCTAACCCTAACTTACACTCTGACTTCTCTCTTCGTCGGTCGCCGTTGCCGTCACTGTAGGACTGTAGTCCTGAACCTGATGGAAGCATTCATCTAATCATCTCCTTCTAGCCGAGCGTGTTGGTTGTGTGAGTCTGTGAGTAGTTGACACTTGAGATCGATTCCCAATCTTTGTTCTTTGAGCCCTTGAGGTATAAAATACTTAAACATGTTCGTATAATGGTATGTTGATTGTTGAGTCCTTGATGAGTTGATGATGCATTCATGTTCTGAGTTGTCAGTTGTGATGTTCATATATATTTATGAAAGTTGTATGTTGAGATCTTCACACTTGATTTCTGAGTTCAGTCATGTACAGATCTGTTCAAATCTTCTCTTGTCCAGTTGTTCACTTGTCCTTGTTTATTTGAAAATTGAAATATGAATTTCGAACTGTGGAAAATGGTAAGTTGTAACTGAAATTGAAATTGAAATATAGGGTTTAGGGTGGGTGTTGCTCTTTCAGTTCAGAATGATAATAAGCATTCTAAGCTATATGAAATGTCTGGTTTGTTTTAACTGTGTCACCTACATGTTTTGAATTGCAAATGTTGGTGACTTGGTGGTGGACCTGCTGGTCCTTCTGCACCCTATACTGTCCCATAAGCCCATTACTCATTTACTCCCATTCTCTGATACTTTCATACTCCCATAAGCCCATTATTTGAATATATTGGAAATGTTGGACCTTGGAAGCTGTTAAGTATATCTGTTATCTGTATATGTTATATACAGTATGCATGTTTAATACTTAAATTGTTGAATATATTGCATGAACTGTGTAATAATTTAGCTCACAGGTATATTTTTGTTGTACTTGTAAACCCCTATATGCATGTATAATGTATTGTGTGCTTGTTACATTTAAATGAGTATGATTCTGTCATTCTGGAAAGCATGCATATGCTGCCAACTGTGAAGTGTCCCTGGACTTTTGTCACTTGATCTGATTTCCAGGTTTTGAGTAAGTGTCTCTTTATCCCATTAATCCTTGACTCTATCATTTATATTAATTTTCATTGGCTATGATGAAACTTCCACACATTACTGAATGTATGGTTTAGGGTTGGTAAAGCTCTTTCAGTTCATTAACTGAAATTGTAGCAGTTGCCTCTGTATTCCTTGTGAAGGATAACAAGCATTCTGAGCCACTGATCCTCCTTATTTGTTTCATTAACTTATCCTTGACTCCTTGTTATTGACTTATTAACTTCTTGTACTACATGTGTATTGCTTTCAAGTTTCAATGTGTTCATTAACTTATATTTGTATGCAGGTGGAAACTTAAGTGTGGAAAATAGCTGTGGAAGTGTGGAACTTCAAGTGTTCAAGCAACTGAGTGAATTGGCTGAGATTCTGAGAAATGGAAATTGGACATTTGGATGCATTATTTTTGCATACTTGGAACTTTGTGTAATTAATTAATATGCTATCATATTCTTATTTTGTATGACTGCTAATCTTGTATGACTTCTATCATATTCTAATTTTGTATGGGAATCAAATTATGTTTTGCAATTTCAGTTTTTTTTTTATATATTACAATTTTAAAAATTAAACCGACTGAACCCAAACCCGCTCGGAATCCGCCCAACCCGAATTTCAGAAAAACCCGAAACTATTCAAGTAAAAAACATAGGGTAGGGTATCTATTTTACCCATCCGAAACCCGAAAGGGTCTTGGGTTTATCAACCCGCCCGACCCGAACCCGCCCGATGCTCACCCCTATCGGTGTGTGATTAAAGTTCAATTTGCATCATTCTAAATACTGTTTGGTTGATTCTGGAGCCCTCAGAAATGGAGTGTATCCTTTTTATGACAACAACAAACAACAACATCCAAGTCTTAGTCCCAAAAGATATTGGAGTCAGCTAACATGAATTCATACATGATATCACTACCAAAAGGAAAAGAAAGAAAGAAAAGATAAGCTATTATGAAAAAGATAATATAAAAAGAGATAAACATACCTACAAATGATAAAATAAAAGGATGAAAATAATGTTTATATATAAGGAAAAAAGGATTAAAAAAAAGAAAAAAGAGGGGAAAAGATAATACGAGATCACTCCGACCTCCACACGAATACTCGCCCTCCAATTCGCTCTCTCCAAACCATGCATACTCTCATCTAACCCAAGAAGAAGCATATCACTCCGGACTCCCCTAACCCACGTCTGTTTGAGCCTTCCTCTCCCTCTCTTCCTTGCCTCTTCTCCACACATCTCAACTCATCTGAGAGGTGCATCACTCGGTCTTCTACGCACATGACCAAACCACCATAAGCGCGGCTCCCGCATCTTGTCTTCAATAGGGGCTACTCCCACCCTTTGTCTGATTGTCTCATTCCTCACGTGGTCCTTCCTAGTATGCCCACACATCCAACGCAGCATGCACATCTCCGCCACACTCATATTTTGAATGTGACATTGTTTTACCGCCCAACACTCTACGCCATACAGTAATGCAGGCCTAATTGTTGTCCTATAAAACTTACCCTTCAGTTTAGTCGGCATACCTCTATCGCATAGAAATCCTGACGCACTCTTCCACTTCATCCACCCTGTTCTGATTCTATGGGATACATCTCCATCTAAGTCACCGTCCTTCTGAATTATGGAGCCAA